CTACGCGTGCTTAAAGTTGCTAGCAAGATCGTAAAAGAGAACATTCTCTACAGACAGCATGAAAGTAAACCCAAGTGAACACGACAAGTGAATTCGCTCTTACGGAACGAACACAGAGTCTGACATTTCCACCCACACAGAGCAGATCAGTGATGGCAATAAGACAAAGCAGCAGTGTGAGCAACATGAGGCTCCAGAGGAATAAAAAACACATGCCTTCTGTCAACAAAAATATATGCTTCTCTTGATTATTTTAATAAGACTCCCGTGACGTATTATTTTCTATTTCCAGTTAAATCAAAGTGGAATTAATGTTTTCATTACCAGTTTACACTGAGGATTATTGTCTGTCTTTAAGAGTCAGACTATTAGCAGCAAGGTTTGAGAAGAACATCTCACTGTATTCAAGAATTCTGCAACTTGTAAACAAAATGTCAGTCCCTCCGAGTCTGAACATAGAAATCAACGGCTCTTCAATGCTCATGAACATTATTTTCTGTATTTGCTCCACGATCTGTGAAATTCTTGTTCTCATTGTCTCTCTTCATCAAATATATTTCCTCCACACTGTGCATTTTCCTTGCAGTGTTCTTGTAAATTATTGCAGGTAACACTGTTTTTATCTGTTTTCAAACGCTGAAGAAGTGGTGTTAGGCACTCAGTAGAAGTATATGAAAACAGATGGGCAGGCTGAAATTATCGAGCTGAGAAACTGCAAAACTTAAAGGCACACCATGAAGATAGTCTCAGGAAACCAGGGCTGCAGAGGCAGGGCAATGCTAGAACACCAGTCACCTCGGGCTCTTCCAATGAAACATCAGGTTTGTGTCTCAGACATTCCCATTAACTCATTTCAAAATGAGTCCAAAAGAGCACTAACAACCACTGAGAGAGCTCAAGAGGAGCTTGAGGAGACATTCAGGAGACAGCTCAAGGCAAACTCAGCCCTGATTTGAGTCATCTGACTCAAGAAACCTATGCAGTCACAAATTCACATCCAAGTTCTCCTCTAGACAACACCATATTGTGATAGAAAGTAACATTTAGAGCACATCAACATGGAAATCAATCTCACCATATCAACTGAAATCCCAAGTAGACCTGATGAGATTATACCAGGGCAAGTCTCAGTGCCCAGCCATGCTCTAAGCTGCTCCTCATTTCATGTCCCTGTTGTTCTGCTCAGTCTGGGCTGACAGATTGAAGCGAGAAGTTCGTGTGCATTCTTTTCCTTGGGAGATCCTTCCCTGGACAAATTAGCATCACAGTCAAGAATTTTTACCCTGTATGGAATTCAATAAATTTTAAATATGAAAGGGTGGAAAAAGTGATCACAGGTATTTCAAGTTTGGTTTAAGTACTTGTAGATTTTGCTATGGAGATCATCCATTATGCAGAATTCCATCAGCAATGCTGACTTCCCTTCAAACATCCATTGGGAACAAGAAAATAAGCATACAGCAGAACAGGAAAAAAAATGCTATGTTAATTAAGCATTCATTTCAAAATACAAGAGTTTGCAAAGATTCTGGAGGAAAGGGAGCATTGATCAGTGCCTTAATGAACCTGCATGCAATAAATTTCACACATTCACAGCACGAACACACTCTTGTCATGATCTCTGGTAAGACTACAGTAATCAGACATATTCATAAGCAGCCCAGCAACATTTAGAATTCAACAAAATCTCTCAGCTGAGACACGTGTGAGCCTACAGTTTAGAGCAAGAAATAGAGAATCTCTCACTGATAGGCCCCTGCGCAGAAGAGGCAATATAGTCTGTCCTAAAAGGTACCACAGACAACGGGAGGTTCAAGTATACAGCATCTTCCAGGAGGTTTTTCTCCTATCTCTGCATCTAGGCATACTCCCATTTAATTTACAGCCTCCATATTTTTTTCCACTAACAAATGAAGCTGCAGCACCTCCATTTTCACTAGCTACAAGGCAAGCAGAAAAACTTTCAAATATATATATATATTTTTTTTTTTTTTTCCATCAGATGTCCGTGATGCTGTCAATGACAACAGAAGAGCTTCCCATGAACATTTGTTAAAATTCACTGTGGCCTTCATATACTTAAGATGGTAGGTTCATCTGCTACTTCCATTTGCTGGAAATGCTATTATGCTGCACTCATTGTAGTATGGTCTCTTCAATTTTTATGCAAATATCTATCATCACAGTTATATAAGTGCTTATGCAATGAAAATATACATAATACACAAACCTGTCACTGAGTGTTATTTAAAAGAGCTATAAATCAAAGTTGTATCCTGTTTGGTTTTATATTTAAGGATCTACTGCACACAAACATAAAATGTCAGTTCTGCACAAAATTTGTTTTAAGTCCCCTTCTTCCCCCAAAGAATAGAATTGAATTGTCTGCTGAAGGCTATTCTTTAGTCAGAGGCCATGGAAAATTGTATTAGATGTTTTGAAGTTAAAACATGAACATCAACTACCAGCAAGGGCCCTAAGGACAAAGACATTTACTGGTATAAATGTTCAGTGAACACAAAGGTCATCTTATTCTTTCCCGAAATCTGGCCATGGTTGAAGCTTCACATCCTGCTCTCAACTTTTCTCAAGAGTTGAAATCTTTTTATGGAAGGAAATAGCAGTGAAATACGATTAGCCTTGGTGATGGCCAAGTTATAACCTCACAGGCCATAGGATTGCAGAATCACTGCTGTTAGGGCAGCAGAATCTGATTCATCTCAACACCAGAGCAGATGGGGCACGAGTAGAAGAGCTGCCTGGCAAGCCAAGCCTCCAGTTTGCAGGAAATGTGTTTTTATCTGAACTGGTGGCTTTGTTCCAAATCAGGCAGGAAACAAACTCCTCTGAAAATGCCCACAAACTGGAAATTCCCCAGAAAGGTCACTTCAAAAATACCAAAACACTTCCAAAACACAGATCCCCAAGTTCCCGAGCCTCAGCTGATCAGTGACACTGCCTCTGACAGCAGCAGCTCAGCACCGTAGCAGTGAGAGCACCCAGGACTCAGCGCAGCCCTGTCACTGAGGTCTGCCCAGGGAAGCTGCCCAAAGTCACAGCTCCACATCAGGCCTGCCTCTGGCCAAGCCTCCTAGCACTTCCAGGCATGGAAATCAAAGTGGAGATCAAACTCCCAGGATTTTCCAGTAGTTTGGAAGTGGCAACCTAACAGCATGGGCTAGAGTTTCAAGCCCTCTAGTCTTGGTGTCTCTGGGCAGACATGAGAGGCTTCAGCTCAAGATGACAGACAAGAAATGCTCCAGGAGCCAGGGGACCTCGATTTGGAAAGAACTCACCAAGCTGGAAAACTTGCAATCAAAATATTTCAGTCCGAGCAAATGTGCTACTTCCCATTAAACTTTGTTTTACCAGTAAATTTCTAACTGAAGAACTTACTCTCCACCACTTAGTTTCCTACAGAGTCATCTGTATTTATGAAAACATGGTACAAAACAATGGCTTTTCAAGACCAGCTCTAAGATCTTGAGACAAAATCTGGCACTGGTGCTTACTGATAGAGGAATTCAGCAGCAATGCCTCCAGCTACTCAGCCAGCTCCAGCTGCTCCCTCCCACCTCGATACCACAACGTACCTCCTCAGATCTCTGGCAGCTGTTCACAGGGCTGAGCTGAAAGGATTGTTCTTGAACTTTCCAAATATGCTCGTTTTTGTTCTGTGTAGAAAGGTAAATTATGTCCAGAGAAAAAAAGGTTGCAGAGCAAAGAAACATCATGACCTCTATATTTCGCACATCTGCTTCGGTTCACACTCCAAGTGAGATTTGTTATTAAAAACTTCAGGTAACTGGTATGTGTTCTGAAGAATGTGAAAGAACAACACTGCTACCCAGGACCCACAGCAGGATGGAATTACACTTGCTTTTGCTTCTGTGGTGATGATTAAAAACTTCAGAGAAGGGTCAGCTGCTTGATGGATCTCAAGTGAACGATCTAGTGCCCTGAGGTTCCCTTATTTATTTCTGATTCCTTTTAATAAAGAGATTTTAAATAAAGTTCTTCCTGTATAAACAGTTCATTTTTTTCCATGCCACTTACTTAGATCATTATAAGCATATTTTAACACAACACAGCAATTATTTTCTTTTTTGCAGTTTTTACCTAAGTGATCATAGGAAGGAAAAAAAAATCCATTGCAACAGGGATCTGAGAGGATGCTGACAGTGTACATGTCAGCTGGATTTCTTCATACATCCTGAGCTCAATTCTTCTCTAAGTTGGTTTCTCAATAGCTTAACTGCTCTGACTGCCACTGTTCACAACAGTACCTTAGAAAGCTGGTCACTGCGACAGAAAGCTAGAGAAAGAGCTAGAAACTAAGTCCAGAAAAATTAGAAATCATGCAAAGAGCTGGAAATAGAACCTAAACCAGCAGGTATCTTCCTGTCCTGCTGCATTAGCTGATTTGTCCCACGGTGATTTCAAACATAAGATCCCTTTCAAAGTAACACCAATCAGAAGTTCTTTTCTATAAGCAGAGCCCAACCAATTAATTATATTGTCAGCACCACAGAGTTTTTGAGAGGGTGTTTCTGGCCCCTGCCTGCACTATCACACACCTCCCAGGCTGGGAAGCACTGCTGCTCACCACCTCCTCCAGACATGGGCCATAATCTTGAGTGAGCTGGAAGTGGGGTGAAGGCAGAACAAGGGCATGTTGGAAAAGGGCTAAAATAAGTAGGTAAGATGACAGATGTTAACAAATATAAAGTCATACGGCATATTAATGCTACATAGGCTTTCTCCTCAAATCACCCACCACACCTGGATGAAAAAGCTGCAGCGCAGCAGAAGCACTAAAGCTTCATTTCCAGGGCCAATTCCATCTGTGTGAGTAAGGGGACAAGATGCAGCTTAGAAGGAAGGAAACATCAGAGCAGCAACTCTACAATTTACAGTCTGTGTCTATAAAGTACTCCTCATGCAAACATTACACTGACAGAACTGGAGGACTATGTCTGTTATTTAATAAATAAATAAATTCACGCAACTCCAAACACGAATCTTGAAAATACCAAAGAACTGTGACATTTTTGCTCTGCCAGAAAAATGATCATGTCTTGATTGAATACTTTGCTTTCTCACTTCCTTTTACAAGCTGAAATGTCAACTATTTCAAGTCAAATCAGAACATTCAACTGCAAATCAGAAAAAAAAAACCACACCTTGATGCCAGAACTGTTGTCAGGAGGACACATGTCATTTACACATTTGCAGTTGTGCTGTTAAGTAAACAGAGATTAAACCCTTCCAAATGCTTTGCTGCTTAATGACACAATCACTGGCATGTTATTAAAGCTCAACACTCTGACATTCCAGTCACCATGTCTGCAAACAGTAAGACATTATGCAATGAGAAAACCACCCTTTTACTGAAACCAATGATGTCTAATTGTGACAGGTGAATGTTTTATCTATGAAGTTTGTGTACACACTATTTGTATGCAGTCTTTGTGTTCCATGTACGCAATTTGCTAGTTTAGAAGGTTTTAACAGTCAGGAGTCCAAGTGTAAAACTCCAAAACAGAAGAAAATGATACTGTGTTAATGAAGTCAGCTAGGTAAATGCCTTCTGGTTATGATGATATCATTATGGGCCTCATGATGAACAGTGAGGCGGAAAACATTCACCTGGTTTTAAATTCAAAATATTTGCTGAGATTCATGTCTAAATGGATGAATGAGCAGAAAGGTAATTGTGTGTTATTTTAATATAACAAAATCAAAATTATTCAAATCACTAAGAACAAAAGTGTTTCTATATGCTGCGTGGGGTTCTGCTTTACTGAATTTATGTTTATGGTTCTGACAGGCTACAAAAAAAAACCAATAAAATAGACATCAACACTAAATGTGCATCTTTATTCTTTTACAAGCAAACTGTCACAATACTATACTCACTAAAAAGCTTTCAAAAACTAATAACTAAGTGAAATATCAGACTTAATGACTTCGAATATCTTGCAAGAAGCTATTTAAGCCACTTTAAAAACAAACCTATTGAACAGCAGAAACATATATGCCAAGCAAACAACAGAGAAACAGTGCTCATGTAAATCATTTGTGGTCTTCTCACTAATTTTAGTAAGATCTAGATGAAAACAATTTCAGTAGTTTTATATTTCCTTTTGGCCTGAATCTTCCTTTATTTTCTTGCTACACCCAACCAAAGATGGACTCCTAGAGAAAAAGAGATGACAAAAGTGAACTGGTACATTATCTTTGACAGAAAAAAGAAAGTTAGATGTGAAGCGTGACAAACAGACTCTGTTCAGATCCTCAGGCACACATCACATGTATAGGCAGCACAGAGAGGGAGCACTTCACTACATGCAGGAGATTGCTATAAGGGGCCAGCTAGAGCTCATGAGAAGCTTCCACAGCACCTAAGTGAAAGGACAGCCTTACACTAGTGTTCCTCCTTCCCCAAGCTGTTAAGCCCACTCTTCCCACTCAGCCTCTCCCCAGAACAGACCTACGTGTTTCTTTTGATAGTGTTCTCAATGCCAACTACCAGCACTGCTCACTGGATCACAGAAAAAAAGTTTTATAGCCATAGCTAAAATGTGAAAACACACGAGCATGCAAGCCTACACATTAAACATTTCCTAAATGCTGTACCTTTCTGTCCTCTGCAGACAGTGCATGTCCCCTCTAGTATTTGCAAAGGGCAAAAAAACGCATGCATGTATTTGAATGCTGACACCATATGGACATTGACCTGGGTTTTTAAACATGCTGTGATTAATCTTTTGGGGTTAAAAGAGAAAGACTGTGTGATGAAATATTTCCTCACTCCAGTGAGAAAGCCATGGATAAGCTGCAGAGGAGAGAAAGCAAACAGCCCTAGTAGCAGACTTGGTCTAGAGCAATAAGGGCAGTCATTAGCACAACAAGCACAAAGAACTGACGGGCAGGAACACGGACTGTGCCTTTGTAAGGGAAAACCCACTTCCCTGTGCTGGGGTGCATACAACCCTTCCTGCTGAGCACATACTGCTCAAAATCTTGGAAAACAAATGAGGCAAACATCATTAATAATGAAGTGTAAGGCTGGCACTTATTAGTAACAATAAAAAATATCAGTGCATCTTTTTTGAATATTTTGCTTATTATTTAATCTTGCTTGGCAATTGACCCCATACATACCCTGTCCAGGGGGAACCCTTCTGTGAATTTTGGTTCGCATCATTGCCTGTGGGATAACATCAGTTGGAGACACATCAGCATTTTCACTGAACTCAACCTAATCTTGCAGCATTCCAGAGATTAAATAGATAGCATTAATAGTCTCATGGATCGTTTCCCTCAAAATAATTTATTAATAGAGGCAATAAAAAGCAGCATTAATTTTCTAGATCTATTAATCCAGAAAAAAAATGATGCAAATTTATTCAGATTTCTTGATCCCTATCTAAAAGTCTGCCAGAATTATTTCCTTTGCTTCTCACTCAATCAAGCATTCAGAACAATAGGAGACTTATCTCCATGATTTGGTGTTAGAAAGAAGGTGTTAGAATTGATGGTTTCCAGCTAAAAAGAGCTTGATAGTAGATTCTCAATTAAAGCTCCTGAAAAATGAGGTACAATCATAATTAAAGACACAAGAAATGTTTGGTTGGTTTTTTTTTTAATTTTGTTTTTGTTGTGTTTTTGTTTGGTCTTGGGGTGTTTGGTTGGTTGTTTTTTCTTCTTGTTTGTTGGGTGATTTTTTTTTTTGCCTTTTTTTTTTAAAAAAAAAAACTTCTTTGGGGCTTTGTTAAAAGAGTTAGTAGAGATCACATAGAAAGGTAATATTTTCCCTCCAGATGACAAAAATAAATGAGTATTTGAAAACGAGAATGGGCTCAGTCCTGTCTGCTCAGTCCCATGATAAATACAAGCTCAACAAGGGAGCACATTGTATGCATAAAAACCAGAAAAGCAAATCAGCAACCAGAGCATTGAGATGGTAAATCCAAAGAGATTTTGTATTAGTAGCATTCTCTTTTTTTTTTTTTTTTTATAATAGGTTGAAATCTTGGAGGCAATCACATATTAAAGATTTCTACTCCTTTTTCCCGTCTCCTATTCTCCTTTTGCTTAAAAGCACGCAAATACAAACCCTAGAAGACATTTTTTTCTTTATTGACTGCTAAATCCTACATACACATTAACATCTGTGCACTAAGGTTTTGCAGAGATACAGGCTATAGCACAAAGCGCATAGAAGCTGCTGGATCAAAAACCTTTAAGTTAGGTAGAGAAGCACAGTTTTACAATGGCTTCTGCAAAAGGTTTATCAAGGGATAACATCCCAGATATCTCTTGTGAAAGGCTCCTGTCTGACCCAGGCAAACCTCCCCTGGCTGGGAGGAACCACTGAGTTCAGGTGGAAGGGTACCCACCCCCCCTCCATGGAGTCCTTGGTGCAGCTACTTACTTGTGCAAGCATGAGACAGATACGTTAGGATTGCCTTTAATTGGTGTCTCTAATCACCACAAACAAATGAGCAGTAATATGGATGAACCGTAGAGCATATAGAGAAGCAGAGAGAGAGCATTCTAAACAACAGAGACAACAGGATAAAGATTACCACTGCTGAGAAATAGTTCAGATGAGACAGATTTTATAGGCTGGACTTGAGCAGCTTGAGAGAGAACTAGGTAGAAAATTTGACAAAGGCCAATGGAATTATAAAGTATACAATAGCACATAATTAATATACTGCATCTTGTAATAGCAGAATTAATCAGAAATTGGCTTTTAAGCAAACAGAAGTGCTTTCCCACATGATGGTGAATATTTTCAGAATAACTGCAGATGTTGTGGAGTTTCCTCTGTTGTTCCAACAACATCTACAGTTGGTTGCACAGGACAGGCCACTGGGTTAGAAAGATTTCTGTTCTGAACCAGAAATGCACTTCTGTTATTCTTATGAAGGTGAATGTTGAGGGAGCAATGTAACTTTCATGAAAACTGGCAGGAATTGACATATGTTTTGGCACATAACTCTTAACATGCATGCTTGCGGAGAACTTCTATCAGCCCAAATGTAAACTAAGCACAAGTACTGCACGTGAAGACTGTTTTTAATTTACCTTGTAACTTTTCATGGATTAGTATATTCTCTATCCTAAAAATTCATCAGACTACGAGGCCAGAAACTCCAATTAGATTTGTGAGTGTACACTGCATTATCTTAAATTGTGCAGCAACTACAATATCTCTAATTGAAGCTGTCTCAGGGCAGAGCACCACTTTTAATTCCCTAGCCTTCTACCTAGGAATAACTGTAATATGGAATAACTGCATTCAGGGCACAGTGTGAGGACAGGTTTGATAGTTATGTTAAATTGTATTACAGTTACCTTTGGGGAGCATCTAATTTATTTATTGCCAGTATGAAACCAACTACCATTTTCCACTTTACCAATGTGAAGAAATAAATTATTATTCATCCAAGTGCTGCCTTAGGTCAGTCTGAGAACAATAGTTTAATTATATATTTAATGTGTCCAGAAAAAATTGCAGACATTGTGTTCATATTTTTAATCTTATAGACTACAAAGAACACACTTCCCATCCTTCTTGCAGTCATACACTTTTTCATAGAACCTTCAATTAAACTCAAGTCAATCAAATGAGGCTAGAAGCATTTAAAGGATGCAATGAATTCCATAATTTGTGATCTGTAAAGCATTTTACCCAAAATAAACAGCTTAACGAACTTCAAACCTAGACACCTTGAGTCAAAGGACTTGCATCAATAACTTGTATTCTCTAGTATAACAAATATTATCAGTTTATTATTTACCTTCTCCACTGAACTGACTGCAAGTCAACAGTCGATGTCGGAACTTTTCATTTTCTTCAAGCATTTTTGAAATTACTTTCCAGACTTTAAGCCAGACTTTGGACTGAAAGACAAAAATGAATTTTCTCAATGAAGCATATAAAAAGTTTGTGTAAAAACATCTCTCGTGTTGCAGAACTTTGAACTCTTCAGCATGACTATGAAGTCTTGCTGTTTTTCTGGTGAAGGATTGGGGGGGAGGAAGGGGAAGAAGGGGGAGAAATGTGACATCAAGGGAGAAAATTGAAGGAAGGATAAATCAGTGGGATATACTGGAAGAGTCATCTCAATTTAAAAGACAACAAACTTGGAATTACTATGTGCTTTCCCACATGAGATATCACTCAAGGCTACTTCCTTGCCTAGCATTCCTTTCTATCCAGGACTTGTGAACTGCCCATGTAGATAAGAGCTTATGAAAACCTGTGCAGAGACATTAAATTCTCCCCAAAGTCATTCAAAATGGGAGAAAAATTAGAATAATACAGAATTGCTCATTTTTTCTGGAGAGCAAGAACTTTCCCGTCTAATTCCACACCAGCAGTGTAATTCAGATCCCGTGGTTAGATTCCAGCATAGCGATGGCACTGGCCTATCTCATATCAAGTTGGTATTAATCTGTTTCATAGATGCTGAAGACTTTTATTTTAGAGGCATAAAAATACATCTATAGTGGGTTTATTTCAAACACACATTAAAAATACTAATTTGGAACTGTTGACAATGGCATTCAGACAAAGAGGCAGACTAACAAATACAAATGGATGTTAACACGCTAACGTTATGACTTTTGCTGGACCCCATCTGTGAAACTAGTTTAAATCTAAAGGTAATTCCTCTCTCATGGACATTTATTACTAAAACATAATGCATTTTCCTCGTTCTTTTTGAAGACTATTTAATGTACTAGAAGAGTGATATTACAGTATGTTATTAGCTGTTCCTCTGAAGTCCGTAATATTTTTCTGGTTTTAAATCAAGTATCTGTGACATTACTATATTAGAGTCTAGCTGATTACTTGTACCTAACACATTACAAAATCTCATCATGAGTTACTCTTTTAACAAATGTGCCTTTGTAAATTTCAAGCATTTGTTGAACTACTGAACAGGAACAGAAATACGGTTTGAGAAACAGAAAGTAATTTCATATCACTGTTACTGCCATATTAATACCTATTGTTCTTGCCTTCATTTCTTCCTCACCGGTGGAACTTCTTTGCTTAAAACAAAAAGGAAAGAGGATGTGCAGAAGTTTTAACCTGCCAGGTTAAACACACTGCTAGGTGTGCAGTGCCCTGGCCACAACGCATTTCTGTACATGCTTTAAGTCAACAGAATGCTCTAAATCTTCAAGGTAAGCACATGCTTAAGTGCTTTATTGAATGAGAGCCAGAATTTTTAAAGCCCCCAGAAAGGGAAAATAATCACATTTTCCTTTTCAGTAAGTGAGGCTTTCAGTAACAGACTACCAGTTCAATCTTCTAATCTCCCTTATGATCTCGCATAGACATATACAGAACAAGCAGGAAGCTATTATCTCAAATGCAAAGGCAGCTAATTCAGCTCCCACATTTCATACCTCCTTCTTCTTTCGTTTAATTACTTTTTCAACATTTCTTGAAGGGAAGGGAAAGTCAAAGGCATCAGCCTTTTCCTCTCGAGGGTCACCTAGGAGGAGAGTTCAGAAAGCATATCCTGAGTGTTTACAATAAATCCCTGAGGAAGCTGTACTTCCCTTATCTTCCAGAGATACTTATTTTTGGTCCCAGCAGGTTACAGAACATCAGTCTTCACATTATGTTGACTATCATCTAGCTTGTTTTCTGCATTATAACCATGTGGCAAGTCTCACAAACTTCTCTGAAAAGATTTCAAAACAATACAGCTAGTGAAGACAGCAGGCTTCTGGGCTCCAGAATTCTGGACAGCGGCTTTCCAAGGAGCTGCTGGGCAAGCAGTGCAGCTGAGTGAAAGTGTGAACCATATGGGGATGCTGAACACAGTGGTGGCTGTGGGCATGTTCCCTCCTGCAGCAGGGCTGCAGGCAAACCAACATCCTGCAGGCCACCACAGCCTGCCAGTGGGAGCCATGTTGTGGGAGCCAGGCTTCCAGCTCCCAACAGCTGCCTCTGATGCGGCTGGCATCATTTAATAACAGTCCAGCAGAACTGATGCTATTAATTACAGACTAAAGTAACATTTCCCTTTGTCATCTTTAGGAAAACAGCTTTTACAGCTTTTAAGAGGAAGAAAAGATACAAAAAAAAACCAAAAACATTTGAAGATCAACAAGTTAGTAACACTCAGGACCACCACACCTTTGTCACTCAGTATTTCATAGAATCATAGAATGGCTTGGGTTGGAAGGGACTCCAAAAATCAGTAAATTCCAATCCCCATACCACAGACAGGGCTACCAACCTTCAGATCTGGTACTTGACCAGATTGCCGAGGGCCCCATCCAACCTGACCTTGAACATCTCCAGGGACAGAGCGTCCTCAAAGAATAAGACATTCCAGACTGGCTTTCCAGATTTGTGTAATAGAAGGACACTGAATCTTGATGTCAATTTGACACAAGCTGCTCAGTCCAGCGTGATGCCTTCTATTCTTTTCCAACTCCCAACCCCAGCTTCTCCTCCAGAAGCTGAGTCACACTCACTGTTTTCACTCTATTTCATCTTGTGCAGCAGAGTTATGTTTCATAACAGATTGCAACCAGTGGGAAACTGCTCAATCTCTTTTTCTGCACTTTAAATAATTAGAAGGCACCCACACCCATGTCCGTCCCAACTTTGTTTGGTCCCAGCCACACAGCAAGACAATTAAGAAACATCTTCAATCAGTTGCAGTGGGGAAGGAGCAAGCAGCACAGTGGTACCCTGCTTAGACAGAAATCACTTGAGAAGACAGAAAGAGCCCAGAAATAAAGATGTAACGCAGCAGCTCTGTGCATGTGCTTAGGAGTTGGACTCTGATTCTTAAAGGCCCCTTCCAACTTGAGATGTTCTATAATTCTTAATTTTTGTCTCGTCACAGGAAAGGAATGAGGTAGGCTGCTCCAGACGTGGCTACCTCACCTTGCAGGATGGTGACACAGCAGCTCAGCACAAGAGTTTGTGGTCAAAGTAATGATTTTTTCACTCACATGAGTTTAACAACATATTCCAGCTCCTCCCTAAACACCCAGTCTGCCTGAACCTGGCACATTACAAAACCTTCAGTGCTATGTTTACCTCTCAGCATACAGTCTGACTGGGCTACCACATGGCTACGGCCTGCCCCAGAGGAGGCATGGCAGAGATGTGAGTGCAGCCCACACTCCTGGGGCACAGAGTTCCCCAGGTTCAGCATCACATACCACAGTGCAGACTGACGTGCTTCACCCCACCACAGCTCCCTGTGGCCTGCACCCCATCAGCAGCAGCCATCCTCCCAAGGTCAGCCTCTTCCCTCAGCACCCGGGCAGCCCTCTGCCCCCTTCTCCTGTCCGTGAGGCTCTGCTGGGAAAGCAGGCTCCCAGCCCCGCTCCTCTCAGCCTGCATGCAGCCCTTGTCATAGCGGATGATGGATCCACAGCGGTGGGAGCCAAAGCTGTGAATGTAAACATGCTGCACATGCAGCCTCGCCTTGCCATGGCGCGGCTCCATGCTGGCGGGCAGGCGGCTGTGCTGTGAGGTGCTGAGCACCTGGCGGGAATGCAGAGCACCCTCCTGCCCCGTCCCATCGGCCACCACTGCCCCAGTGCAGTGTCCAGGCTTGGCAGTAAGAAATGGAAAGGATATGCAGTCTGAGCAGGAAGGAACAACGAGCTTAGCGCAAAGCAGGCCGTGCACCATCCAGTCACACATGCACAAAATGGCTGCCGACAGAATTCCAGCACTTCAGGAAGCACCCTTGGTTTAATGATCTCGCTCCAAGCTGGGTATAATTCAGTTCCCTGCCAAAAAAAAAAAAAAAAAAAGAAAGAAAATGGAGATAGTAATCTACTCCACAAAATTGCCTTTGGCCACCGTTACAGAGTCACAGAGTGGTTTGGGTTGGAAGGGACCCTGAAGACCATCTAGCACCAATCCCTCTGCCATGGCAGGGGTAGATCCCACCTTGCTAAAGGCCCATCTGACCCGGCCTTGAGCACTTCCAGAGATGGAAAACCCACAGCTTCTCTGGGCAGCCTGTGTCAACACCTCACAACCTCGCAGTAAATAATTTCTTTGTTGTCTAACTTCAGTGTACTTTCACTTAAGTTTTAGCACAATGCATGCAGTCTGAATTCATATGTTAATATATTTGATGCAACTTATTGATACAGAGGGCTCCAGGCTAAAGGCAGTGATGTATTGTCGGCCTTTGCTGCAATATTCAGAAGAGGAACTAGCAGCATCTCTTTAGTGAGAGCATTCCTACAATTTTTCTGCACTGATACCATGAGCTTCACACCAGTATACCTCAACCTAACAGCCACTCTGCCAGCGGATTGGTGGGTGCCCAGCTGCCTGGTGAGCATATAGGGAACATTAAATACATGTTGTCATTTCATCCTTCAAGCAGCAGCTGGTGGACACAGGCACTGTGTGACACCATCAGAGCGAGGAGCCCTTCCCCCAAACAGGCTCTCCATGGAAGAGTGCCACTGCAGCACTGGGGCTAGGAGATGACAAGCAGGTTTCTCAAAGCACTTTAAAGCATCCATCCTATTGATCTTTGCTTTAGTATTGAAACACCTCTCAATATTATTTCTCGGAGGCCATCAGAGGAGGGCGAGAGCCCTCGAGGTCTCAGGGCTGCTGCCCCTCGTCCCCTTGGCAAGGCAGGGTGCTGTGCAGAAGGACCCCACCAGATGGCAGCCTTACCTACCGAACTGGAGCCTCCAGCCCTGCAGGAACCTGCAGTGGTACGAGGAGCCAAGGGGAGGGGAAAAAAAAAAAAAAACTGTGAGAAGTATCCCAGGATTTTCAGCTATTTTATACACTGTCAGAAAATGGCAGCTTGTGTACGGACTTGAAGAAAAGGGAAATAACTTCCAGAGGCACAGCCTGACAGTTTGCCAGTTTTTTTTTTTTTCCACTTCCCAGTGATAAAAGGGCATCTTTTGCAGGCTCCAAAACATAAGGAGCAGAAAGGAAGTTGTGGATATTTAACATAACCACCAAGCTGGTCACCTCAAAAAAATAAAATAAAATCCATCATGGACTGCCTTTCTCATTTCAAAGATTTGAGCTGACATTCTGGCCTCGTGAGTTAGCCAGTGCATCTAATTTGAGGGAATTAAGCACAGAGTGAGGTAACCAATTAAAAACTGGTCCTGCAGAGCAAACTTCATCATGTCCATTAATCACAGAGCCTGGGTAAAGAAAGCATGTCTCTTGCTGAAATACACGTCTCGTTTCACACGTCCCCCAGCACAGAAATCCAAACCTAAGCAGGACCCGTTTCAGTACATGCTCTCATTGCACTTTGCACGAACACTTGCTGCTGTATGTTCCTGAACAAGAGCCCGCCTTGCCAGCTGGCAGGCTTCTCCCTTCCTATGGCCCTTTCAGGGCATCAGAGCTGCCAAATCAGTGGTTCATTCATCTGTATTTAGGGTGTATTCTCTCACCCTATTAATACAAATGCACATCCCTTGAGACACATTTTTCCTACTTTCCACAACAGCACATTGCCAGGACTTCAATGTCAAAAGCAAATTCAGCTCAGACCCTGTTTAGAAACTACTTCTGCTGACAAAGTCAGCGCCCCAACTAAAATCTCTGAGAAATCTGCAGAACTGGGTATTTCAGCTATTTTTGCTGTTCTGCACCACCCCTTCCCAGTGTGACCAGACCAGCAGCCAGCCACTGCCTTGCTACTTCTTGTTGCTGTGAACAAACAGCTCAGCTTTTCACCACATCTTCAGCTGCGAAGGTAAAAATAGAGCAGGCATAACTCTCAGCCTGCACCTCATCACACTGCTTGTTTTGTATTCTGATGTCAGCCTCTCCAGCTCAGAACTTGCATTGTTTCCTGAATTCTATTGTTTCGGTTTTACTTCGGCCAAGCACGCATCATCTCCAGCTAATCTCAAATACCATTTTAAAATTAGATAGGTTTGGTGGTGGCACGCCTTTCAATTTACACCAGGAAGGAAGGAAGGAGCCAACAGGGCATTGCTGCGTGCACTTCTAGTGACGTATCTCATGTCACTGCCCTGCAAAAACAAAACTTGCTCTCCTTTGAGAATTGTTCTTCTATGAGGATCCTTTGCAGTGCACCACAAGGAATTATTCAACATAATTCTGGCAAGGCAGGTTGCTTATTAAATATTAACCTGATCAAATTGTGAATTCATCTGAAATATGAATTTTAACTCTCTTAACAGAGGTTTTTATGTGAAAAATATGCTAATTCTGAGAACAGCTTCAGTCAAACCTTGTTAATTATATCCTCAGCAGCAGCACAAACAATTACTGTATCTCTGTCATTCTCACAGAAGACTTGATAGGAGTTGCTGGAGTGAGGTATTCCATCAGAACGTGGTGATTTTACAGAACATATTCACTGGAGAACATTTATTAGTATAACTAGGAATCATCATCAAAACAAAACTCACTGCTTCTGGTAAATGCAAGCAAGGCATTATGCCTGCAGTTTTTGCTTACTTGTTGCATTTCTTAATTCGCAACAGATCTGACAGTTAATTATGGAAGCAACAAACCAGAGCAGCAGAGATGTAAAATGGCCAGCTGCCATTTCAACACACCTGCACTTCATATTAATGAACCCACGTATCTCAGATTGCCTTACAAACCATACATGTGGGAATCACTTCATCCACACCACTCATAAGGGGAGGCATGTTTCCCCATTTATAAATAAATATTATAATATTATAAAAATATTTAGCAGACTATAAACTAAGTTTGTTACATAAAAGCCTGAGTCTCCCCTTGAGAGATTTTCAAGTCACTGAGGACATCCATAGGCCTTATAACCAAAAGCCAAGTCAACAAGACTAAAGCCTTCGGTTTGGAAGAATTTTGTGTTAAAGTATTTGAATAAAGATTCCCAATCTGAAACAAAAACATAGGGAGACTCAAAAAGGGGAAAGCAGATTTTTTATCTGCTAACACAAGAAATAAAGGGAATTCTTTCTGTGAAAGACGTGCTGTCCAGAGGTTATCACTAAAGGCAGGTTAGAATTTCTGTTTCTCTGATTTCACTTTTCCATGCAAATAACTACTGTTATTTAATGATGGCATCCTTTGTTTCCAAAAGAGAGAGACAAAAACTTTCCCCTGGCTCTTCCAAGGGCTGCAGGCATTATAATAGTAAATGTTACAATTCTAGTTCTGGGCAACGTGCCGTAGGACCCTGTGTGAGCAAACAGATGGAAGCTTAGTCCTACCTGAGACAGAACTGCAGATTGTCTTCTCACACCGTGGAAGAATACTGGCTCAGTACTGCATATAAAAAGCAAAAAGTAATAAATCATCCTCCAAATTTAGAAGCATCCAAGGTCTTCCAAGTCCATCTGTCCCAGCACAAAAATTCGTGCTTTCTTAGCTTCAGACATCCAACACAATATCAGCCCAAAGCACGCCTGCAACCCAGTGTAACCACCAATGCACCTGTCTGCACTCACAAGACAGTCTTACCTACCTACAGCATAAATATCACTGAATATACTCTTCTCTTTAGCAGGAGGTCCCCTCCGTAACAGTAGTTGGGCCTTAGCAGAACTGTTCAGTTTACTCCCTTCCTATTCCCAAAGACTCAAGGATGCTGCCAGGAAAGGAACAGAGCAGGGCCTCTGTCTGCAGGGACTGCCAGCTCCGCACAGAAAATCGAAGCAGTGGCTGCTTTGTTCTGCCATCAAATTCCTCCAAAGACATCCCTCTGTATAAGCAACCCATGAGCAAATTTCCTTGCTACTGACTGAAGAACTGAGTTAATTGTGGCAGTGTGTACTGAGCAGCATCTGCCTGTGAACAGCTGGATCAGCACAGCAAAGCTGGGGGCTACTGCCTGCTGCTTACAGTAATAATGTTCCTCAAATGCCTAGAAATCACATTTAACTCACTGAAAGAAAATTCAGAAATGCTTGGCAGGAACACGCTCCGTACACAAACCAGTACTGGGCACGTGCTTAAAGTGACAAGGATTGTCTTGAAAAATGACACTTCGCTAAACTGGCAACTTAATGCTTTCACATGCATATCAAGGCATCAGCGATCACTAAGCAAACTGGTCTTGGCTCACGAGTCAAAAGCAGCGAGAGATGGCAATTTCGGCTGAAAAAATGTTTTCTGAGATGTTGGACCAGAGAAAGTCGGCAGACCTTTTTTGTAATGCCTTGCTGTGTGTGTGAATTGGTAACCTCCACAGATTACAACACTGTGTTAAAAGTTACTGAGGCACACAGTGAGCATGAACTGCATCTACACAGCCCACCACAGCAGCAAAATCAACACTTTTTACTGACATGAAAAGCACCAGAACTAATGCAAAACCAAAAAAGTGTTCTCATGGTGTTGTGCTCAGAAGATTTAATTTCAGTTTTCACCACTCACCAAAATTAACTCTGAGGAAGAAAAACACGATCAGAAACAATTTTTATCTACTTCTATATTTTATAGTGTAATGCTATAACGGGGTGGAAGTGCTGCAATAATAGCAGGGTGGCAAAGCCATGGGCTGCAGCAAATAAGAATGAGCCCAAATACAGTAGCTGTGAATGGAGAAATGAAGGAAAAGAACTGCTTACCTTTGAAATGCCTCAGGTAGGCAGGGATCTCCAGCAAGAGATGTCCTCCCCTCCATTGCCAACACTTAACTGAGGTCTGGGAAAGGGTAGATCCTGGCTTCACCCCTTCTGGTCATTCAGTTGCATTGCATGCACCTGAGCTCCCCTGGGTGGGCCCTGCCTTCCCACCAGGTGCTCAATCACTGCTTCAGGCTGTGACTTAGCATTTCCACTACATATAGATACAAGGAGAAGTGAGAACTTTTCAAAGTTCTCAAATTCTGTGAGGGCCCCCAAACAGAATAGTACCACACTACGGTTTCCCAAGTGCCCTAAACAAGACAACTGAGAGAGCTTCCTTTAGTAATTTGAATGTGATTATTACTAAACGCTCACAATGAAAAAACTTCTGACAAGCCATACAAAAAGTCAGCAAATTAGAGTTTGGGTGTCGTGAAAGCAGACAATACCTGATAGCACTAATGAAAGCACCAAGTTTCAGAACGACCTTATCTCCGTCTTAGAGAGTTCAATAACACCTTGGGAGCACTGATTCAGCCTCTCCACACCCCTTCAATTTCTATGACTGGGAAGACAGCTGCAAGTATATTCTTATCCCAGAGGCTGTTTTTCATACTGGCAGACTGAATCAGCTTATTTTACGCAGAGGAAGAGATGTCAGTGTTTTTTTCCTCATCTATCCTTTCTAAGGCTATTATTTGTCTTAGATTTCCTGGAGGCTAGCAATGTGCATTTTGGACTGCGGCTGAGCAGGCTTTCATTGCACTGAATAAACAGCAGCTGGAGAACCAGGACAGACAGTAGAAACTGTCCGACAACAACTTGACAGCCAGGAGACTCTCTTTAAAACATACCTTAGCCTTTAACTCTGTCCTAGATGGGTTTTATCCATCTCCACCCAAACTGAGTTCCTTCACTGATGCGGAATGTAGCAGTTCATTTAGTGAAAGCAGCACCCCAGAGAAAGCTGGTGGCTGACTGTGCTCAACGAACAGTTTGTGCTGAAAGAAAATATTTGAGATTCATGTACTGTGGAAATTCTGAAATTCTACCCCGCAGGCAAACATCCACCTTCTGGAGTCAGCTTGGAGCATTTATTTATAGTTTCAGGACAAACTGAAACCCAAAAGAGATTTGATATATTATCTTTCCTAGAATGTTCTTCTCAGCAATTCAGAATCAGCCAAGGCCGCTGCTGAAAAGGTGATTATTATTTTCAGCTTGGAAAATACCCCGGACTTCTGGTATTTCACCTTATTGAGGTGATTTTTTTTTTTAGACTCTAATAAATTAAATCTCATTACATAGGCAAATATTCACAAAGTATTCTGCAGTCTCCAGAGGGGAAAAGCTCTTAATTAATTTACACACCAATCAGACTTCATCTCAATAAGCACTTGTGAGCTCAAACGAGTGTGGGAGTGCCACGTCTGTGGGAGACACCGCTCGTTCTACCACCATGGCTCAGGAGACTTAAAAAGCCCACACTGCAGGACCAAATTTCAACTCCATCCTACTTGTTAGAAACCATTATCAGATAAAGCACTGATAAGCACATGCTTTCTAGGAGACCACTCTGCACTTGAAAGCGATGTCAAGAACTCGTTATCACACTGGGAGAGGCCAACCTACCGCTATTTCCTAGCAATACGAATACAGAGAATGGAGAGATACTGCCCTTACCAGCCAATACTCTGGTGCAAAATGCAACAACGTGGAATTCATCATTTGCCAGGCAGACTTCCCATCTCCAGCCTCTGTATTTTTCCAAAGTTTACCAGCATTTTATGAATTATTTTTAAATAGCCGTTTCAAAGGATTGAAAGTATACGCATGGAGTCACCAGCAATTTTTTTCTTGTTAAAAAGGCATTAGCTTCTAAGTTTGCATCATCCGAAGCCAATGGGAACTCAAGTGATTAGCACCTTGCAGAACTAATCCCATTACAGCTCAATTCTGCATTTTCTGAAGTGCCCATGGAAATAATTGCACTCAACATCTATAAAACATTTACAACACCCTTCCTCAAACGCAGGCACAAGAGATTAGTAGCCCAGATGCCAATGACAAAGCACTGGTCAGTGCAATGCTACTTGTATCGAAGTTTAGAAAACAAACAAAAATAAATTTGGAACTCCTAGCCAAAAAGGATAGCTTCTGAAGACCAGATATAGTAGATGGCAACCCTTCACAAGACTCCTTGGATATTTCAAGATCAGGTATTTTAAATTAATGCCGACACTAGCAAGCTCATCTAAGAATGTTCTTTAAAATACCAGACTTATTCCTTTTCCTGGAATATCAGATCACAGCTGCGAGACAAGTGAAAAGCAATCCTTGTCTGTCTGTGCCATGCTTGGACAGGTCCTTGCCTGGTTATCTTTCTGTCCCAGCTGCACGGTGGTTTCTGACTTATGTCATGCATTGCATGTGCCTCAGTGGTATCCTTCTCATTAAACACGTCACCCGCCCAGTTAGCTTGATTTCTCAGTGCATAGTGGTTGTCTTTTGACCCTATGAATTGGAAGCAGAGAGCAGAAAGAAATGATCCAATTCCTGGCTAGGTTGATACCCTTATGGCTGTGAAAAAAAAAATAGAAACAGCAGTGCTGAAGCTGCTGAAAGGTTTTTCCAGAGATACGTAAGATTATTCAACAAGCACCAAATACTCAACAAGCACCAAATCCACAAAATTAAGTAGTTAGCATTCAACATTCCCTAAAGACAACATCTGCATGTAAGCAGTAAGAATGCTTCTTCATGCAGTCTGATTCAACCAACAGCAGTTCTACAGCCCTCCAGACATCACCCTTTCCAACTCTGCTGCACTGCACATTTATCTTGTGGTGCTTTAACGCACTGCTCAGGGCACTCAGCATCTCTCCAGTGGTTTCAATCTCTCTCACACACCCCCTACAAAACCATGCTCAGTGTTCTGACCAGAACAGGACCGCAGAACACAGCCTTGAGTCCTTCACACATACACAGTCAGACATGTGCCCACTTCATCAGCATCACCTCGCGAGCCCCAGGAGCTGCAGTCACAAAGGAACATTTATCCACTGAAAGCTTAAAAAAAAAAAAGAGGTTAAGGAGAAGCATTGAGTTAAAAGTTTTATTCATTCAACATCTCACATTACAAATATTTAAAAATTATATGCATACTGGTATAAATAGTCATTTGCAAACTATTTAATAACATTAATTTTCACTAGCACTTCAACAAATGAACTCTTTAAAAAAAGTAACTTGTGTTATATAACTTAGAGTAGAACATACAAAAATATGAACTTAAACGTGAAAATGACTTTAATAAAAAATGAATTACCCTTATTTAAAATGCTATAATAAATACTACAACCTCCCCATACACAGTAAAAACTATATGGAAATTCAGCCAAGTAGTACAATTAACTGACATACTTAAATAACTTTTCCTTCTGATAATATGAGCAATACATTGGGGGGAAAAACATATTAGGGATTAGTAAAAACTAGACACCCACTTGCTAAAAGTTTCACTTCCAAAAAATATAACAAAAAAATCTGATGAAAATTATAAAAACTAATTATACTTTAAGATTTAAAAATATAAAAAATAAAACAGTTGAATACAATATTGTCCCAATTCTTACAATGCTATCACAGTAGCTTTAAAATAATAAAATAAAGCAAATGACCAAAACCTTTTATTCCATTTTTTTAAAAAATAATCTCAAATTTACATTAGTAGAAAGATCGATTTCTGATTCTTTTCTTTAGAAACGCCAGCAAGAAAGAGGATTTACTAGAACAGTAGAAAATGACATTTTTAAATGTCTGCAATTAAAAACAAAGAATTACACTGCAAAGATCTTCCAGAAGTCTGAAATAGGTATTGCACATAACTTGAAGTTAACTTGCCACAATTCATCACATTCAAGTTTTAAATCACCTTTTAACAGAAGGTTTCAACTCCTCTAAAAACAAAAGGGGTGAATTATCAAGTCTTTCCAACAGCATCCTTAGAAAACGCTAAATTCATTCACTGCAAGTTTTTAATTTGCATTCTGCAGAGGTCTGTGTATGGAGAAGTAGATACTATACCAAAAAAGCACGGGGCAGTGGGGTTCCTTTACATACAAAATAATCAGAAACACTTTATTTTACATTGCAAAAATAACCATGTAATTACTCTGTAACTACACTGTAAATACATGGCCGGTGCCATGCTAGTGTGATAAAACTACATGCTCATCAGCCCCTTTGCAAATCCAAGTGATACCCTAAGACTGGTAAACTAATTACATGTTAATTATGTTTGGAGCTACACGGTAACCCCAACTACAAATCCCATGTAATCAGAAGGACGTGTTGTCACTACTTAAGTATACAGAGTAATGCCTATAATTGTTTATGCCCTGTAAATCGAAGTGTAACCAAATAATCTGTAAACACGCTTGTCACACAATCACAAGTGAATATTAGTAGAATAACAACTTCTTACATTAGTCATGCATACTAACATTACGCGCCTGCCACCTGGCAGGCTCTCTTTTATTCTTTAAATATAATTTAAAAGAGTAGACACATTTCTGCATCAAACACCTAACATCAATTCTTTATTAATATTAAAAATGGCTAAACATTCACCAAAAACGTCTGCATTTGTGTATCATCTTTAAAAACTCAGTAAGAAGCGGTAGACAATTTTGATGTTTCTTTGCTTTTAAATCCTACGCTATATTTATGCATTTAAATTTCAGGGTCTAAAGACAGTGTCATTTGTCACTTTCATGCTTTTCTTCTTTAATTCTCAACTTTACATATACTATTTCTTAAATTATATGTACACCAAATACCTGGTGCTGGGCTAAGATGTTTAAGCAACATGCTTTCTTTTCTCTGCAGATTCTAAAATAGCATTGCCAGTGCACAACATCCATAATTCAAAATGTATGCAGAGCACTGAAATGTATAAAAAGCAGAATATAAGAAAATAAAATTTATTAAAATTATTTATATTAAAAAATGAAGTATATGAAGATCTCTCAGTAATAAAAGTACAAAAAGCTACTCTTTGCAATATGAAAAATTGAGGTATTGCATAAAGAGATATCCCGTCAGTGAAAAGTGTGCCTAAAAATGCTCACTGTTGGAAAAACAAGATATACAAAAGTAGTGCATAACAAATATACATTATGTGCATGACAAAATAAGTTAGCTACAAAAACACTGTACCGAAATTCAGCAGGTCATGTACAAAGGGAAAATTATTATTCAAAGCTAGTTCTCAAACAGTGTTATTTCTCGTAATGGTAACCCATCTCACCTGTTTACTGGGTAGGATCGGCACAATAGCACACCCCAAAGCCACCTACAAGCATTAAAAAAATTAAAGGAACATTCCAACTCTAATTATGTACTTCAGAGAAAAAAAAGTCCCTGACAATCTACACAAGAGCACTCTGCATTTGCATTACTGTTGTCAATATTTTCAGGGATTTCATTAAAAGCAGCTCCCTTTCTATACTTGACTAATAGACAGCAAATGTCTCCATTTTGACCTTTGGAACTCGAGAAGGTTCATTAAAGCCTGTATTGAAAATAAAAACTGCTTCTCATAAAGATAATCTGGGCTGGGGGACAGGACGAGGGGGCCGGCAAACGCTTTCAGCGCAGCAGATGTTTCCCAAGCAGTGCTGAGGCAAGTCTTTGGTCTGAGAGAATCTAGGATGGTACCACGCCAGTCGGGCGGTTTAGAAGATTGCCACTGAACCTGTTTGGTTGCACACTGCTAAGGAGTAGTTTCAGAAGCTGGCCGGGGCTTTAGTTCAAAAGTAAGAAAAATTATGTTCAGAACTACTCCTTCATTCAGCTATTTCAAACTAAACCCCTGCACCCACTCTTTATCATTCCATTAACATGTACTGTGTTAATGCTTCTCAAGGTAGAATTTGTTTATAATAAAGCAGGCATTAACTTAGCAATGTTGGCACTTCAAATACCTGTGTTTCTCTATTTTTCCATATTAAGTTCTGAAGAAGAGGAATTTTAGCTGGGATTCTTTCTACAAGAAGAGTAAGAAAGGCATATGCATGCTTGCACCGTTTCATGCACAAAACAGTGCAAAACGAGACCTGGAAACTATGGAGGTTCATGCCTTCTGTTACAACTAAGTTAGAGAGTATTCAAAACTAACTTTACATCCATGATGGGAAACCAGTAAGCAGCCGATTTTAGTTTGTGTGACACACTGGAATATCAAAACTTCAGTAAAAATTAGTGATATCCTTGAGGTATCTTAAGGTTTTCTAGTTTTTCATGTCAAAATGGAGAGCAAAGGCTGGCCCCTGATGAATGTTAGTATATTAGGATATAGAGTTATATATAGCCATCAAAAATAAAATCTATATATTTATCCTTCAGGAGAGGAAATGCCAGTTAACTAGTTGTCATTACTCTAGCTTTGGTTGGACTTCTAGGGCTGTAACCAGACAATTGAATTCTCTTAAACATAAAGAAAAAAAAGTGCACTCCCCCCTCAGTAGTAACTTTACTCAACTTTTACATTCAGGAATTCTTAAAATGTAATAATTTTGATGAAAATATAGTAAGCTCTGCCTATCTCATTACTAATTTGGATGTGGGTGGTAGTCAGAGGCAAGGTCAGATATATACCGAGCAAAAATTTCAGCCTCAAAACCCTTAAAAGATTAAAGAAAGAAAGAAGGAAAGAAAGAAAGAACTATCATTATTAAAATGCTGCTTCAACTTTACTCATGCATTTTTGTTGCTTTAAACATGCTCTTTCCTGTTGATAGGTAAACGCTAACTTCATCTGTTGCTGGAAAAATCCAAAGTCAAAACAAAACGAGAGGCAAAAACAGGCTTCCCTGGGGAAAAGTGTCAGAACAGACTTATAGTGTTATTGTTACACGGTTATTTTAATAAAAGTATTCTTATGTTCTTTATTAACAATAATTTAATTAAAAAACCAAAATACTCTATTGTTTCAATTCTCTTAATATTTTTCTCTCCTCTAAGAAAACGTTGCATGAAATTAAGTGTTCTCTCCCTAGTAAAGACAAGAGAATGCAACTCACTTGCAACATGTTATCAATACGAAAAGGAGTTCCCAATACAGTTTTCAATGACAAGATTCTACAAAATACCCATATTATAGGTCATTCTTTCATTATACTATTGTTAAATTACAGACTACTACAAAAGGACATGCTATCTTGAATAAGAGAAAGGGCAGGGTGGGTAGGGACAATCAGGATAACAGAAGAGTGCACTTAATTTGAGGCCTGCATATGAGCGCTGCAGCGATCATTTAGTTCCAGCGGAATGAAATATGTCTTGGGCGATCTCCTCCCTCCTTCACCAGGGGCTTGTGGAATTCCCTGCCAGCGCGTGAATGGATAGCAGCCCAGCAATATTCACAGTAATACTGCAGACAGGTAACATTAGCACAGAAAAATGGAGCAAATTTTCCACCGCAACGGGCCCCCTGACATTCATCACAAAGTTGATCATCCAAGACATATGGCTTAACTTCCACCTGCATACAGAAAACGAGAAGAAAGTTTACAATTCTTAATTACAATGTAGATGAAGACAATCCCACAACATATACTATTTGTATTCTAGCAGGGAACTACACAGACAAGAATTAAATGCCAAAACTCATAGGCATTTAACACGAGAACAATCTTGTTCCCACTGCCTTCCTTGATCCTTCAAAAACAACCAGAATCCAATGCTCAGCATCAGTTTCACACAAGCTGTCATTTGTTTGCAGAAAGGAACAATCAACATGTAGAACTGATACACACAGATTCACATCAGAACACTGGAGAATTCTGGGGATTTATTTTTAAGAAGCGTGATGCACAACTAAGCTCCTACCCGTTCAGGTAGGAATGTAAACTGTTTACACAACACTGCCTGCAGATTAAATGTAGTTTGCAAATTTCAACGTCTGAATCCCCAGCTTTAAAAAAAAAAAAAAAATCATTATCTTCAATAAACAGCACATCTCTGTTCTCTTTTTCTGTGGCTTTGTCCACTCAGCAAAAAGAGACCCACCTACTCTTGCTGGTATCAAATACGAGGCTTAAAATGGGACTGATGACCATCTACTTAGTTGGCATGAAGGACCAGATGAGCAGCAGACAAGAAAGAAGAAACATTTAAGTTCTTAATTGATAATGACTCACAGGAACTTACCAGCTGGTGCTACAAGGATACATCTACGCTGCAACATCTGCAGGCTACTAGCTTTTAATCTAGGCATTTGCATACCAAAAACAAACCCCTGCCCACAATGCAGAATGCTGACTGTGTGACAGGAAGGCAAAGCTTGCTGCTCTCAGTATACAAGCTGGCTGGAGTACAGTTCATTTAGACATGCCTACGTGTTCAAATAGCACTGCCATCCCTTACAGGCTGGGTTTCACCTCATAACCAATAATCACTTCTGCTCCCACTCCTTCACTCCCTAGGACTATGAAAGGTCCATGTGCGCATCAGGAGCACAACAGCAAACCTTAAACCTCACCTTAAAGAAGCATACAAACAAGTTCCTGTCCTGATCGTGTTTGTGAGCCCCTCTCTGAAACCTGTGCCATCAGGCATTTTCACAACCATTTCCAAATATCCAACAGCAACTGGTGTCTCTAGCTTGTCCTGCTATTTCTGCATCTGTTTAGGGATGGCTCCTTCTTCAACTCATAAATCTCAACTGTATGCCAGCTGACTCACAGTTCCTAGCATTTTAAACTCACCCAATCCTAATAGGCTCCAGAGAAGGCATTGTAGTTGGTTCACATCATCTGTACTTACAAACTACTTGGGAGACAATACAGCAGCCTTTTCCCTCCTTCTTTTACTTCCCTCCTACTGATACTGTTTCCCAAACACTCCTCCACACCAGCTCAGAAGAATGGATTTATAAAAGAGTAGCAAAAGACTGAAGAGAGGGAGACTTCACTTTCTCCCTTTGTCATTTGAGGTTTGCTAAGCAGTTTGAGGTTGAGCTAAGAGGACAAAATACAGTTATGCTGTGCTGACCTCCTTAACATGGCAGCTCTGCAGCTTTACTGTGCTTGAATATATGTGTTCAGAGGCTGGCTTAGGCTGCAACCTAAAGGCCATACTACAGCACAGGTAATTATACCTCTGCTTGCTTTAGCCTGTTACTGCACCACTGGTTTCTGTGCAAGTCTGTAAACCACAGATATGAGTCAGAGTCCTCAACACATTTATTCAGTGTGTGCTATAGTGCACAGGACCAACATGACCTGAATTTCTTACCCATGCTGGCTACACGGAGGCTTTACAAGAAGTACCTTAAAGTACAGCAACTTCATCAGGCACACTTAGGGTGGCAGCACACAGCAGAAGCTCAGTAGCAGTGGGCACTGCAGGCCACTGAGCATTTACCTTGCACTGCCTCTCTGAAGGGCACATCTGTTAGCAGCACCTCCTTGCCTAATTTTACAGGAAATCCTTTCTTGTTATTACTTTCGTTTTTATTTGTACAGAAAAACGTAATTAGAAAAAAACAACAACAACAAATAGCAAGTAATTAATAAAAAGCATTATTTCCATTGTTGCCTTTTTTCTATCTTTTATGCAACCAAACGCTCTTATAACGAATCCTCTGAGCATTTATCTCCCCATGGCTTTTCTGAACACACAAAATGGGGAAATACAGAGGAGGAGGAGAGAAGGAAGGGGAAACAGATTGCAAAATACTTGCCAGAGTTCACAATTACTTAAATTTCTAGTCCCGACAGCTTCAATGGACCTATTCACCCAAATGTCTGCTTATGCAAGCAGAAGTTGCACAAGGGCAGCCCAAATTATTTGTTCAAAGCCATACAGAACTTATTTCAGAGCCAAGATCAGAACAAAGACATTCCATCTCACAGGCCCTGAGACAAACAGTTGTTCTACCCAAGCTTTATAGCCAAGGGAGAAGTGAAATGATAATCAGCTCATCAGCCAAGTTTGGGGGTTTTCTTCTATAGTGATAATAAAACTGAAATAAATAGTGACAGTCATGTAAGGAAAATTCAGAGACAAAGCAGCAGTGAGAACAACAGATATAGGGATCTCAGTTTCTCAAAATTGAGGCCCAAAGATCATTGCAATGGATAAAGTCACATTTGATATAGATAAGGGCAGACACAAGCAAACTACAAATCTTATCAACATATTCCTTTAATTTATATTAACAAATTAAGCAATAAATAATTATAGATTATCACTGAAACAATTAACTGGGCAGCTTTTACACACGACGTGCAGGATGACTATGAGGCTGTGATGCCTGCTGAAGAGTTCACAATGCATTACTGTGATGTTCTTCAGAACCACTCAGCTAATAATGCATAACAGTAGAGCTACATTCTGCCCATTCTATACAAAGATGCAGAACACGAGTAAAAACTGCTCCACCCTTAGCAGATACCCTCCTCCCTGACATTATACAAACACTACGAGTGCAAATCCTTGCAGTGGGAGTATATGACGAGTGTAATATTCTTATAAAAGGGCAAGGCAGCTGACATGCTTCCCATTATGCTAAGCAATTTGAGGAAGTCAGCTTCACAGTTGCCTCCCACGTTCCAGAAGCAATAGCTTTGCACCACTCCATCATTTTTATTCTGTGTTGTATCTTAGTGGCACAATCTAGCCTTAAATACACAACGCATCTGATATAACATTTACAGTCTTCACAATGACACACATTTACATGGAAAGCCATTTCTAGAGAAGGCACTGAAAAAAAATAGAATACGCTTGAAGACCTTACCCGTTTATCTATCTCTCCATGCTGCAGCTGAACAAAGCGAGCACTGATAGCAGCTATGTAACTCTGTTGATTAGAAAATGCAACCCGCCCAGCTCCTTTTGGGTACTTCAGCTCAGGGTCTGTGTCAATTCCAGCATAGCACACCCCTCCATAGAGTCGATCCATTATCATTGCAAGTTCCACTAAACCAGAAAGGAAAATGAAACAGTGTAGGCTTGGTTATTTTTTCTCCCCCTCTACAAGCATCCAATGTGATAGTTCATTTGTATCCATGTGCCCCACTGCAAGTGTCAGGAACACTTCATAGTTCATTTGCTGAAATAACTTCTCTCCCCCCTTGCTCCCCAAATCAGACTGCATATTCAACATGCCCAGTGCTGCGGAACACGCAGTGTACCTGCTCGTAAAGGCCGAGGAACACCACCAACAAAAATGGTTTTTCGTGGGTCAAGAGGCTGTGAACCATCCATAACAAAATCACTATCACTAAGGTTCCAAGGCCGGATCTGAACCTATGGACAAAAAGCCTTTTTTTTTTAACCATTCACAATTCAAAGTATATCAGTAATATAACTTAAAACAGTATTCTACAAAGTAGAAAGCCTGCTAAACTGCACTATTTTTAACTCCCTATTCAGCAATCATTTCCCAAAATGAAACGTTAATAAGCTCCACTTGATTGTACCAAATTTCACCACTTCCTTGTTACCCACATTTCTGGGAAAAAAACTCACCCCTTACTTACGCATTTACTTAATCGTGGCCAAACGGTGCTGTATGAACCACACCACTGCACACATATCTTCACTATTCGAGTTGGTCTAGGCAAGTGTAAGCACCAGACCAGTGTTATCTCAATGGAACAGGCTCAAATGTGCGTGTTTATTTACTATGACAAACTAGCAGCTTTATATTTACCTACTGCTGGCTGCATTTGAAAGTGCAAGAATATGACAGAAGTCTCCCAGTATTAACAGACTTGCATCAGTCACAGAATCATTTGTATTAATAATGTACAGTTCTGTGCCATATTATGCTTTTTTTATTTGTCTCTGTCAAAACAGGTTGCATGCAACACTACAGATAATATTACAATTTTATTGCATATGAAGGATAAAATACCTGCCTGAAAATATATTTATTACATCAAAAGTGAAATTCAGCAAACCTTTTTCTAACAAAACTGAGAATTGTAACTATACTTCAACACTTCCTGATGTCTACTTTAAAAATATGCTATTCATCTTTTTGAAAACTTAATTTGGCGATGTGGGGAAATTTAAACATTAGCATTCTGAAGACAGGAAAAATAAAAGGCACCTGAAGAGTACAATTTCTGGTTATCATACGAGAATTGTGCAGGCCCTGAAAATTCTACCTACCGGTTTGTCTTTGATAGTGGGGCTGGAAACACAGAGATAGAGCTTTCCGTCTTCTTCAATACATGCATCAATCAGTGCCTGCACAGAGCTTTCATCTTGGAACAGCAAAAATGCGTATCCTACCAAAAGGGAAAACAAGCACATAATTTCTTTCCTCTATTCACCTTATAGTACAGTAACTTAGCCCCAAATTGTGCTTGGCACCGTGTCATCATGCTACTATATGACGAAGGACAAACTTTAAGATGCCCTCACACATTCCCGACCAAACTTCCTGTAAGCTCTCTGACAGTCATGAAGGAAAGAAGGGAGGGAGATTGCTGATCAACACATTCTCTCCCCATTTCCTTTGAAAAAGAAAAGCCAGTAGTAAGAACTGAACAAAAGCCACAGCTGTGGAGGCATGCTTCCCAGCACTGCTGTTAGTATAAGGTGCTAGTACTCTCTGGCATCTGTGAACAGTATTTAACTGCTTTACAGAAAACTAGCCTTGATTATTATTACAAAAGCAAGTAAAGCAGAACAAGGAACAACAGGAAAAAATAAAAAAAGAAAGAAAAGGAAAACCGAATAAAGTAATAACAGGAAGTTAGGGAATAATTGTTTTAGTGCAGAATAATTGCAAAGCCCATTCTAAAATCAGTTTATAACCCAAGGATTCATCATTCTTTCCCCTAAACTTTGGTCATCACCATAAAAATCTCTTTTGAAGTTGAGTCTTATCAAGAAAAATGAATTCTAGAACAATGATACCATTATCAGATATTTACCCTTAGGAGGAAAATAAGATTTGCTTTCTGCCTTGTGTGGCCAGTCTACAATCAAAGGTCCAAAGCGACGAAAGCTAGCAGTGATCTCATCTACACAGAGAGGAAAAAGGCATAAACTGAAATTAAAATCAGTTGATTGCAAGACAATTGAAAAACACAGACTTCATTTAGCTTCACTACATAAACAAACGTGGCATAGCCCTAATGGTTTACCAAATTACAGCAGTGCTTACTAGCTGATGGGGCATCTTCAGGACAAGTCAGAACACATGTTACAAAACAAGGCAGTTCAAAGATCTCTCTCTTATTTTTACTGCCGATTTCAAACCAACTAACAAACAGAAACTAAGTCTATACAGCTATCATAACACAGCTTCAACTATTCTGCCACAAAGAGTTCAAAGGCAACTTGCTAGTAAGCAACCAGCACTGCCAGTGGGTCTTAAAACTGCAGAAAGACTGGAGAAAAATGAGCAGGCTATCACAGGAGTCAGTCACACCTGCTCATACTGCATGTCAGTGCCACATCAGCAAATACTATCTGAGTGTGACCTCCAACTAATACAGAGCGAACTTCCACAATGGTGTTATGCAACATTATAGGAGAAGTGGCAAACAACACATAACTACAGCAAGAAACAACTCTTGCATCCATTGCAAATTTGCCTTCCACCTAAAGTTGCTGGTAAAAATGTGCATGTGCTAGTCCTGTAGGAGTCTTCTAGCTATAATTCTTGTTGAAAATGATAGTTCCCTTCTCCACAAAAGACATTCCACTTAAAGTTCTCTGAACAAGAATTTTTCATTAAGAAAAGGAAACAAAAAGAACAAACTTTCTGTTGCTGCAGTGCCATCTGAACTGGCACAACGCTTAGCTGAATTCTGCTTAAGGTGTTACAGACCCTTCTACAGCAGCACAGTGTTGGGGTTAGAAATCTGAAAAGGTGCTACTGGTTATGTTCCTTTCAGTCTGTTTATACCTGCTGATGACATTGCTAATGAAATAGCAGCTCACAAGCCATAGTACTGACAGCTGCTTTGTACCCAACAGATCATCAGAAATCCACCCAGGAAAAGAAGTGTGTCAAGGCTGCGTGGTGACGGAGATATTAACCAAAGAAAACATTACTTATTACATCTCTATTCCTATAACAAATCTTCATTTAGAACAGTAGTAAGACAAATTTCATTTTAAATTACATTACATAAAATGCTTCTTAGAATTACAGTCAGAAGTTCAGACTCAGGTGTGAGACGCTTTAAATCACATCATCCTTTTTCTAATTCACACTCGTGCACTTAGCAAGAGGAGTGCTGACATGAAGCAACTGTGACACATACAAGCTACCTTCCCAGCACACATTTAGCAAAGGCTTTGTGCCTCGATAACTCAGCTTCACACAGACAGAACTATTGGTCTCATCTGTTTTTAAATCAACAAAAGTGATGAAGAAACAAACAAACAAAACTGTAATAAGATTTTCCTCTTGTAAACATCATGTTAGACATGACCTTTTAAATGCTGAAGGAATAAGTTATGTTAAACAGGATAAATGTAGCTCTTATGTTGGACGTGACAGTCAAGTTGTCGTGCTGCAGTAATACAAACTGCAGTGCATTACAAGCTCTCTTCCTGACAAAAAGCAGGGACTAAAAATAATTTTGTGATTTGAAAAAAAATAAATAAATAAAAGCAACTTTGCAGATTTACAGTTGAAGTTCTTGTAACCACCCCCACATCATGCTCTATACATACAAAAAACCAGAACTTTTTGATGAAAAAAAGCTTCACCATAATTGTGACCCTCACCAACACACTAGAAGCTATCACAGGATGCGATCGTGGCTAAAAATCACCTCTAAGAAACCATACATAAACCTCCACATATGAATTAAGTTACATACACCTTACAAATCTACTAGAAATCCTTTTCTTACTACTAGCTTCTGGTGCATACAAAATGACTGCAAAGTACTGTGACTTTCAACAGGGGATATTTACTTGTTCATTGTTGCACCACCACCCCCTTCTTATACCTCTTACACTGCAAACTTCAATTACACGTGTGATAACGTAAGGTTTTGTTCTTCAGCAGCAAAACAATGTCATAGCCAAAACTAGTCTGAATTTTCTCACATTTGCCACAGAGTAAAAGTGGCAATATACAAAACCTTATTTACACATCAAAGCTCTTCTGTAGAGTTAGAAAAACATTCTTTCAGTCAATTAACAGACAAAAGTTTTCACACCGCTTCTCTGCCATTAAGCCAAAAGGAGCTCTTCTGGGTAAGATTTTCGGAGCGTACCTTCATCGATGTCTGGGGGCAGCCCACCAACAAAAACCTTCCGGGAATACCGCTCCACTCGCTCCCCATTCTGATGGGAGAAGCAGTGAGGTGACCCCAACCCACTGTGCAGAGTCTGATCGCCACGTCCATCATCCAAGAACCCGTCTTCCATTGGAAACAGCGAAGACTGACCTGAAGAGGGGGTTAAAAGAAAAAGAAGGAAAAAACATACTAACAGAACAAAGCACAAACTGTTTTAATAGGTACTAATGCATATTAATGTTTTTTGTGTTGGCAGTACAACTGTTTGCAGTCTTCCCTTTTAATGAGCAATTCTGTTCTTGATTTCATATGACTCTCAAAGTTTTCATTATCGTTCAGTAATTCAAATGTATTATTTCAGAGAAAAGGTCACGACCTCCTTCATAAAGGCACCACAACTAACAGAAATTTGAAACAAAATGGTACTTCAAATGGATGCTCAGACTACTGAGTACTGACTACTTTCCATAAATGTCATGTTTCTAATTAAAATTCTTTTAAAAGAACTTTCAAGTGAAAGAGAATAAAAGCCCCACTTTCCCCCACATCCCCACCTCTTTTTAGGGAGTTTCCCAATAGCAGACACTAGAACCTAAGCTGTACATAATCGCTTCCCAGTGAACAGCTTCTTACAAGGCAGAGAGAAAATTTCACAGCGCAGATGGCAAGAAAAAGAATTCTGCAACTAGATACATTACACATTTAGATCTCCTGATAGCAAAACAAATCACAAGCCACCCACTTGCAAATAACAAAAATATCCTGATAAATCTGGGAAGACCCACTCTCATTTACCACAAATGAAGACTGAAAACTCGGCAATACTGAGACATTCTCAGAAGGAAACTCACTTGGATGTTACAAAAGAATTGCATTCATGAACTCAGTCTTAGAGAAAATGTAGGCATGCTTCCCCTCACTGCCCAATACTCTTCTGTGATAATCCTTTTATCATAGATTTCTTTAATAACATTCATTACTTTTAAATAAGATTATCTGAATGCAACTGTATAACGTAATAAGCTGAGCACACAAACTGATCTCATCCCTGAATTCCTTCTTTGGTTACAGTATTCAATAGCTAAACAACAAACTCATTTCTATTCACTTAATGAGTGCTTTAGGCATAAATACACATAGGGAAAGTAACCAATTCATGAGGTGTGCCACAAGTTTTGGGATACATTTCCTTTCACCTGAGCTATGATATAATGTGCCTGCTTTTCCAGAGCTCATTACAATCCACCACAGTCATGTATTGCTACGGTTAATCTACGCTGCTCTGCTTCCTTCCTTTGAAAAGAAATTACTGTCATTTACTTCATTTTAAAAAAGGAAACAGCATCTTGAACAGCAGATTTACCAGATCCAATATCCTGGCTATTCCCATGCAAAAATCAAACAGTTCACAGGTTGAAAGCAAAAATAAAATAAAATAAAATAAACAGTCCACAGAATTTATATGAATAAAAAAAGGGAAGACTTGGCCAGCTTTCTTTATTTGAAACTTCAGGGATCGTTTTACTTCTTTGATTAAAATAACAATCTCTATATAATAAGACCTTCTTCTGTAACTAGGTAAACTTGGCCCTGTACTATGATAAAAATATCGTAATATATACTTAAATGATGCTTTGTTTTTCCCTAATGAACTGATGCGTATTTCATTTCTTTCATCTCTGAAGGCCCCAGTTCTGCAGGCATTGCTGGAGGGGAGCAATTCTCCATACCTTCACAGATCTTTTTAGGTTCATTAGCATTACCACTGCTGTGAGATAACTCAGTACGCATGCTTGCAGCATCTGCTTCTCTAACATAAGAGGCCAGGACAAATACTCACTACATTCTCTGCTGCATCAAGAAAACCATCAGCACTCAAAGAACCAAAATAAGCTTCTCCAGCATTGGCATTCATAACATACACACAAACAGCAACACAGCTCTACGGTATAACATATCATACACATGTCCACTGAAAGGACTGTGATAGTCTCAGCCTCAATAGCACTGCTGTGGAGTACTACCTAATTCAGTTAAAATGTTTACTTACAGCATGCAGACTAGGGAAACTTATGTGAAACTGATGCTTTATACTCAGATATTTTGGAGTTTGCCCACTAGTAACAGCTTAATGTTTTTCTCCCATGAGACATTGTCAACATTAGAAAATTAAATAGGAATATTGTTACCTCGCCTTCTCCCATATGTCCTTGCTGCATGTTAAATGAGAAAGAAAACAGCCTTTCAAACATTGTTATAAGGACCAAAAGACCTTGATTTATTGCCTTTATTCTAACTCGGTGATTCTGCAGCCTTTTCATATTCCAGGTCATTTAAATTGTTGTTCATGAGCTGACCTCCCCTCCCACCCACAACACCACACCTTCCTTGCACCATCTCTTATTGACAAAACACGTTGCTTTGAAGCTGACAAGGTATGTGTGTAGTCAAAGAGACTTTCTGAAAGCAATGTAACTTCTTAAGTTGCACACTTCTTCTAGCATCTATCCCTCACTCCCCTGCTGGATGTGCACCCGTACACAAATCCACCTTTCCTCACGCAGCAGGTGCCCTGCACTCAGCCCACCATGCCCCATGCTCTCTCCTTGCCAACACCAAGCACTGCCATCGATCATCATTGGACCTGCAGGACCAGCCCTAACAAACACATTGGACCTGCAGGACCAGCCCTAACAAACACATTGGACCTGCAGGACCAGCCCTAAAACAAGGAACGTGGAGGACAACAGTGCTCATTTCTGTTCCCAAATTCATTTGCTACAAGCACTTTGTGCGACTCACAAAATCCTTGCTTGAAATTATTACTGGCAAATAACTAGCTGAAAAACTGAAATTCAAGGAGAAAATGTCTGGGTGGATAATCTGGCTTTCTGACCTCCTACAGTTTGTGCACAACAGTACAGAATCCCTCACACCGACTTTGTACTTCACTGTAATAATTCAACAGCTTCCTGCTGCTTCCTAAAACAAATCAATTCTACCAGCAATAAGTACTACACTTTTTGGTGCCAGCTTCCAGTACCTGTTCAGCACGGTTACACTTTGTCATCACATTTGCACACTCTTTCTGTTTCAGCCTCATTAAAATCTGTACCTGAAAGAAGGCCAACTGTTTGAAAGGCTCAGGTTCTGCTGGCAAGTACTACGAGAAACTCGGAGCACATCACACGTTTTATTTTCCTTCCTCATTCAAAATTGAGGCTGACAATTAGTTTAAGTATTTAAATATCTGCAAACCGCAATAAAACATGAATAGCTCCCACTTTCGAAATAAAAAAAACGTATCAGTTCAATTTCCCTCACAATTATTTGGCACCTGTAAGATCATTTGTGTCTCTGATGCTTGGCTGATACGTTCACAGTTAACACAGAGATTAAAAAACAAGGCCTTTGTCTTCAGAGTGTAGAACATCACCTCACGTTCACACAGATCCTGGCTCTAGGGAAGAACCTGGGGGCTTTACATGTCTTGCTTATGCACAGAATCCAAGACGCTCACATAGCCCTCAAAGTGAAAAGTTTTGGGAAACTTGGCTTTCAGGGAAAGCAATCAGCAACCTTCCAACATTCTGACAGAGATCAGAAGCATGTGCACGTTTCAGAAACGCAGAGCACTTTCAAAACCAGCCCTGCCTATAAAGCCATAAAAATCCTGCCTGCAGTTCCTGAATCAGAACCAAACCGCACGAACTCCTGGCTTGGAACACCCACCCTTGGCAGCACTGCTCTCGGCACAGGCTCGGCTCCCACTGAGGATCTGTGTGCACAATTCAGGTCAGTCCTTCCTCGCTGCTTTGCCACCTGTGTCACTCACAACAATAGGACCTTTTCTCCTTTCCTGGCATGAAAAGCAGCAAAAAAAAAAAAAAAAAAAAAAAAAAAAAAAAAAAAAAAAAAGCTCAGCCAGCAGCTATAAAGCATTTTCAGTGCCAAATACCACTGAAGAAGGTTTGAGAACCAAATACTGAGATTTTTTTTTTCCTCATTTAACTTGTTTTGTGCATTTGCTTCCTCTAACCCACAAAATACCAGCACTTGACATTTCAAAACGTTTCTCAAGAGCCACTTGTAAATTACCCCAGCACAGTACAGATACAAACTTTCTCCTCTCATTGAATTCAGAGCTCATCACATGCCATTAATTTTGCACAATGTAAAACAACCCTGAAACAAAAGAATGCTCTCTTGGCAGGCCAGGAAGGCAGCTAGCTGCCATCTACCAGCCCTGACTCTGGCTTTCATAATTTCATATTAAGAGAAATCTTATCCTAGCTGAACTGCAGCACAGCTGAAGTGCTTGCTGCCTCCCACTCTGCAGACTGGTAGAACGTGCAGCTGTATTTTGTGCCATTGAGTGCAGGGGATTTTCACAAATAGGTCAGCATCGGGGATGGAATGTTTCAAGCAAAAGGAAGAGCAAGCAAGAGGCATTGCATCTCCTGTGGAGAACGTCACCCCGACACACTCAGGGCCACGCTGCAACCGGGAGAACTATGCCAGCATCCAAACACAGCATTCACACTTAGTACTGATGTAAACACAATGCTCCAGAATGAACAGACCGACTGAGTGCTCAGAGTTGAATGATGGCTGTATCTTCATTCTCGCTTCCTTGCTATAGTCCAGGTTGATGCAACACCTTACAGTTCTGTGCTTAATTCCTCTTTGGTCCACAAGCTGCTCAAGGCAGTGATTGTGTTCTTTACATCAGCACAGATGTCAATCTAACAACACAACAGTCTCTCATTCTCATGTTAGGCACTGATTACGATGTATGCAACGTTTATGATTCACCTTTTTTTTTTTTTTTAAATTATGGAAAAATAATTGAAGTAGAATCTGACTTCAAGAGCATAGACTTCTATGCCAAAGCATAGACTTCTATACCAGCATAACAACATCTTATAGTTTAGCCAGAGACAACTTTATCCATCAAACACGGAAGGTCAGCAAGGAGAGAAGCTGAGAAACACTGCAGTGAGAAGTAACTATTAAAACACACAAATGGGGTTTGTGTGAGAGCTTCCATCACCATCATTATTCCTTTCCTGCAGATGCTCTCAGGTAATCTGCCAGGCTAACACAGTGCCACGCAGGCTGAACCTCTTAAAGATGATCTTTCACACATT